ATCTGTTTGGCATCGTTGGAATATCGGAAAGGTTGATGAAACCCATTTTGAAAAAGCATTTGAGCCTAAGAAAAGTGAAAGTTTTAAATTCACCAAATTTTTTCGAAAACCAACTTCCTCGCTAACGACTGTGTAACTGTCAGGATGTCTTGAAACAAACAATCGTGCGAATATCGTGGCAAAGGTGAGCCAAAGCCCAAAAAACCTCATTAAAGCAGGTCCAAATTAAGGTTCATAGCTTCGGTCATTTGAGTTAATTAAAGACTTTAAACGTTGCCACAAGTGTATTGAGGCCAAGTGGATTACTTTGAAGGGGACGACATAGATTTTTTTAGAATTTTACTTTAAAATTATGAATGAAGCGTTACTATTTTATGCTCATAGTACTACATATGATTCTAAAAAATTGGTTATGATTTTATTGTAATCGATTAATCTAAAAAAAAAAGCATTTTGACTAGATATAGAAAGTATCATTATACTTTAGTTACACAATCTAAAAAAAAAGCATTTTGACTAGATATAGAAAGTATCATTATACCTTAGTTACATCAATATTTATTAGGGTGGGTCAAAAAGCTAATCTTTTAAGAAAATTTTCTCAAGTATAAAATGAAAAAGTAAATTTAAAAAAATTAAAAGCTCATATTTTTAATTATTGTTTTTGTGATTATTTTTTGTTTAATTTATTTGTTTTTATAATTTTCATTTTCGCTGATTTTTGGATGAATATCTCGTAAACGCTTTATTTAATAAAAAAAAATATATAAAAAACCATTTTGTAGAGGATTCAATTTATCACAAAATCTTTGAAAAGGCATATATTTTTAAGTACATGGTTAGAAGCGTAATATGCATTGTAGATTTATTAATTAATCATCATCTACTTTACTAAGTAGGGTCATTAGTTTAATAACTGGCCCAAAACAGACCCACGAGAATGCTCAGGCAAGCCACAAACTTACAATAAGTACTTATATGGATATATTTATAAGTGAGTCAAGTCAGCAAAAGAGGTAGCACGTTAACTCCATTCTGTTGAAATCATTTAGCTAATGCTAATTAAAACAGGAATCGTACTGTGCATATATGTTTGGCAGCTGTATTGGTCGAGCTTCTGCCGACGGTTTTTTTTCCTTTTTTTTTTTTTTTTTTTTTTTTTTTTTTTTGAACTTGAGATGCGCAATGGTGGTCGATATTTATTAAATAAAGTGCTATAATTCTGATAATAATTAAATCAAAATTCGATCGCAAAAACTTTAAATGTCCGCTACTACGCAACTGTTTTTCAGTTCTCGCCCTGAGTCAAAGACACCATAATTTAATTTTTTTTCTAAAAATATTTTTGTAAATTTTGTTTTTAGCAAAAATAAAATATTCATTATTGCTCAACTGTTTTTAGCTGAAATTACCATGCACTTTTATTTCCCTCACTGCTTACTTAAAATACATATTTTTAATAAGCTTTAATTTTTTTCTTTTCAGGTATGTATGTATGTATACATGACTGAAATCCAAAAAATTATATAAGTCTCACCAAAATTCACTACTACGAACAAACAGTAAGTAAATATTTTCTGTTCTGTAAATCTGTATAATATTCGCCAGCAGTGTATGAAAGACTAGCAGAGACAAGAACCGCTGATCATGTGATTGCAAAACGATATTGCATACTTCTAGGTGCTCAAAGTGTATAACACATATAATCCGCAGTGATTTTCCAGTGTCAGTGAAATTGTGTTGAATTTTTAAAGTAGTTGCGTTTTATGTTCGGACTTTTAAAGGAAGTGGACTCTGTTTTCCGTTTTTCTGGTGCTGTAACTAATCGGAAATATGTGTTGTAGTTATAACTCATAGAAGCTGCTCTTTTTCTATCTCTCGGACTTGAAGTTGTAATAATGTGTGTTAACTGGCAATCTAACTGATTGAAAAGAGTATTTTGTTTAGCAAACAAAAATTGAATTTAGTAAAGAACTACCAAGAATCTCAAAATGACAAACATAATTTATAGTTCAGAATGAAAACTGGGCATGTTACAAGAATGGAAATCATATATTAGCGGGAAAAAGTGCATTGAATTTAAAAATTTATCTACATTTCAAATATTGAATTTATTTAAAGATTATCTGAAATCTTACTAAAATTAGCTAAGCAAGAACTTTTTTAAAACTTTTCAATTTTAGGCTTCTTTTATTACCATTATATTTTTTTTTTCTTACCTATTGCATATACATACATACATATGTACAAGGTGAGTTAAAAGTAAACAGGACTTAAAAAAAAACCAGAACTTATGGTTTTTTCGGCAAAATCAATTTATTTTATACAACATTTCTTTCCTTTCTTGGACAAATGCATTATGGTTAAAATGTGATTTTTGGCCAAATAATTGGTCACAAGCGTTGTTGGATTCTGAGCAATTTTCGCGCCATCTCAGCGTAAGCCCAAATGTTCGGTCAAAATGCGTTAAATCGATGTTTTGGAGATGTCCAATTCCATTTCCATTAAATTCAATCATGACTTCGGCATTTTGATTGGTCCACGTGTTGATCGTCATTTATGACCTCACGACTACTTTGAAAACATTGAAATCACACGTGCACTCTGCTACGGTATAGGCAATCAACGCCATAAACTTGTTTCATCAATTTAAACGTTTCGGTAAAAATTTTCACCAATTTTAAAACAAAATTTAATGTTGGCTCTTTGTTCGAAGCTCATTTTCGCACCGATATCGCAAATCAATAAATATGTATTCTAAGGCACCAGTCGACATATAGATGACGCCACCAGGGGCGCTAGATTCAAAAAGTCCTGTTTACCTTGTACATATGTCCTACAAATTAAAGAACCGTCGATCGACTATTGAGGCAGAAATTATCGTAGTATCAGGAGTTAGGCGATTAGAAGACTGTAGTAAGTGATGTGTTGATTATCGTTAAGGCTGAAAAACGATTTTTTGGTCAGGATTCAGGGATATCAGTGGAGTATATAGCTATAAATAAGATTATATAGGGGTATAAATATTCTTAGTGAAAACACAGCTTTTTATCTTCGATACATTTTTTCTTTATTCATATTTTATGTCATAATTTAATAATAATACATGTTATAAGTTAATCATCATTGCGTATATATTTATGTATAAATTTTCAAATCTCCATATAGTAAATAGGTCTTTATACAAAAACAAAATATAATAAAATGTAATGTACACATGTATTTATAAAGGCAATAGAAAAGAAACTCAATCACACCACAACTTAAAGTGGAGTCTACAGCTAAATTATATATTAGTACACATGTATGTATATGTATGTGTGTGTGTGTTAAAATTAAAATTATTTTTAAATTATGCATTTTGCCATTACGAACTAATTTTGGTGCCAATTTAAATGTTTTCATTTGTGTGTGCTTGTTTGTATTAAATAAGGCTGCGCGCAAATATGAAGTGCCTTAAAGACTGTTGGAAGCATTTCTGTGGCTAAGTGCTAGCGCATGTCGTTGGTTTTTTTTTTTTATATACTTGTAATTTAAATTAGTAATTTATACATATAAATAGTTGGCTAAGCAATAAAAACTAATCGAATAAATTATTATATGCTAGTTTTGTAGAGTAATGTAGTCGTAGGCACAGTGGAGGCTAAAAAATAGGTTTTTAATTGTTTTTTTTTTTTTTTGTAATTTTTT